CTCAGGAGGCTGAGACAGGAGAATTGCCATAAGTTTGAGAACAGCTTGGGCTATATAGTGAGTTCAAGGCCAGCCTGAATTAGATAGTGAGACTTTGCCTCAAAAACAGAGACAAACCCCCCAAATAAGGCACTTTATAAAATATATTTTAAAATTTCTAAGACATTATTTTAACTGATATATACGTGACCTAAAAAGTACTGTTTCGTGGGGTGTATGGTAAGAGAAAAATTGAATTTAACAGCTTGTCATTCATTGTTATTCAGTCAAGAATCTAAAGACTATAAGGACACACATAAAATCAATTTTATAACTGGGCATTGTGGTAATCCCAGTACTTGGGAGGCTGTGGTAGGAGATTGTTGTGAATTTGAGACAACCTGGGGTACAAAGTGAGCCCAAGGTCAGCCTGATCTGCATAGTGAGACACTGGCTCAAAAGATCAAAATAAATAAATAAAATCAATTTCATTTGCTTCTTTGAGGATAAAATAGTAAAAATACACATTATAAATGATACAGAATTTCACTAAGCAAAATAATAGGAATGCAACAAAGATTGGTACATTGCACAATGTTGCCTTCAAATTAGTTGTTTTGGGCCAGCCAGATAGCTCAGAGAACTGAAATACCTGCTTAGGCAGAGTGCAGCAGCTGGGGGATCCCTGGTGTACTGTGCTGGCCCTGTCCCCTGGGCACACAGACCACTACTGAGACTGGGTGGGGTGGCTCATGCCTGTAATCCCAGTGCTTGGGAGGCTGAAAACAGGAGAATCACTATGTGTCCCACCTATGTACGTAGTGAGAACCTGTAGATCCTGCAGACCCTGTACCAAATATATTTTTTAAAAAATTATAATTAGTTGTTTAGATTACCAGATGTAACCATGCAAAATTTGTAGGAAAAAAAAGGTTACAAGAAATTAAAAAGGAGAATCATTTTTTAGAAATTGTAGGGTGCTGACCAGGTAGCTCAGTGGATTAAAGCACCTGTTTAGGCAGATGCAGGGACTGGGATTCGATTCCTGGTGTGCTGTGCCGGCCCTGATCCCAGGTTGCACTGTCATGGCGATTGACATTGGGTATGATGGTGTGAGCCTGTAATACCAGTGTCTGGGAGGCTGAAAATAGTATCACTACGAGTCCAATCTGTGTAATGAGACCATGTAGACCCTGTACTGTACTAAATACCAAAAAAAAAAAAAAAAATGTATTGGGAGTCAAACCCAGGGCCTCACATATGGCAATTTTTCTGCCACTGAGCTACATCCTCAACCCTCTTCAAAACTTTAGTTTTGGACAGAGTCCCTGGCTAAAGTTTCCAGGCTGGCTTCAAACATGTGTTCCTCTTGCCTCAGCCTCCCAAATACCTGGGGGTTATGGGCATATACCACCATGCCCAGCCCAGACATATATAT